TCACTTGCAGGTGCTAAGCTATAAATTGTCCACCTCAATGAGGGGTGTTAGTGACAGAGCAAAAAACGATTAAGACATTTCGATTATGTGACAAAACTGAATAATAAAAAGATAAATATAGTTTTATTGTTGATATTAAAATGCTCCCACTCTCTTTTGTCATTTCTAAACTGCAAAGCAAGTTATATCATTTATACTGACAATCATATATCTCAACATTCCAAAAAAAACTACTTAAGCAAAACATGGACTGCATATCAAATTTGTCAATCCTGTGTCTCCAGCTCAATTTAAATTCTAAAACTATTTTCAGTCTTATTTGGGAAATTAATCCTGGGATTTTTACCGAGACTCAAACAGACTGAGCTATTACCCATACAGTAAATGGCCACAAATATTCTCATTTTATTCTCAATATTTCAAAGGATATTGCAAAGAGCTGTTTTCAATTCAGACCGTTAACATTAAAGGAAGAGCAAATTTAAAATTGTTCAGTTTCTTGTGTAAAAAACATTACAATCGATTTAAAATTGACTTAGTTATTGGTCTCAAACAAGAATGTTTAGAACTCCAGCGAAGGAAAACAGTTTAATTACACTTTCAAAATAGAACATTTTAATCCCACAATTGTTTTTAGAACATATTGCCAAGCAGCATGGATTTAAAGAATGTGAAAGAGACTGCTGCTCATTTTGCCAGGGATACAATGAGGAATAAACAGCTTACTAGTTTGTTGTTTCCATTTTATAAAGTTTTTAATTTTCATGTTTTGTAATCACCAGGTTTGCAGCTTGGATGTCAGAATACTACAAGTTCACACGCCACATTTAATAACTTGCTTGAGACACAAAATAGGAAAGTTCTTTAATTTTTGAATGGCTACCTTGTGCCTCCTTTTGGACCTATCTGAAATAATATTTACTGGATAGCAGTATGCTATGAGCAAACCGTAAAAAAGATAGATTTGTTCTTCTGCTTTATTTCTGTCCTTGTTAAGATGAAAGATGGTAGTGTTGTGGAATAGCACATTTTCCATTCGCTTTTCAGTAGCTCTTTATTAGCAGCTGTCTGTACTCCTTGCAAAATAAGGGTAAAAAATAGCCCTGTCCAGGACAGCCCTATAATTTATTCTGATACTTCAACTTCTCTTTTAAAGCCTTATGGGCAGCAGCTGCTCTCCAATTTAGTATTAGCAGCACGAAGATTAAAATATAATAGTAACAAGATCAATGGCATACAGTGTCAGAGCTTTGTATTTTTATGGCTCCAGTTTGGCATGCCATGATTACAATGTACTTGAGCTAATGAAGTCAAGGAAAATGTATGAAGGACAGAATAACAACACAGAAAAGAACTCTATAACCATATTACCATTCAACTCTAAAGTACTAATCATTTCATCATATTCTTCTTTCTACAAATTGTTACTAATATATGGTATTTTCCCTCTACAAAAAAAGAGGTTTCTAAATCATTGGCATATTATTATTTTTCGCAGAGGTGCCTAGCAAGTCCCAGAGATCATGATACTGTGGCAAGCTATGGATAACCTACTGTCGTTAATTGAAGTCCACAGCTTTTGCACATACAGAAGTCCATTTGTATGTCACCAACTGGGAAATCCAGGTCAGAGGAGGCTAGTAACATGGCCAGGACTAAAGTGAAAATTACATTTCTTAATAAAGGAAATACATTTACCAGAATGAAAAAAACAGATGAAAATAAGTACATTTTTTATACTTAAAAAGATTAAGAAATGGAAGAAGTGTATACTCAGTTCCAGCAATGAAGATGGGCATCATGAAATTTAAAAAGCATAAGCTTTATGTTTTAAATAATGTAGTACATACCTAAACATCCATCTATTTTCTAACCACGTCTTCCAATTCAGGGTCATGGGGGAACCAGAGCCTATCCCAGAAAGCAATGGGTACAAGGCAGGGTACATCCTAGATGGGATGCCAGTCAATTTCAGGGCAGAAACACAGATGCACACACTCACACCAGTTTTCCCAGAAGCCCATTAACCTACCAGTACATTCTTGATCTCTGGGAGGAAACTGGAGCACCCAGAGGAAACCCACACAAACAAGGGTGGAACATGCAAATTTTGTGCAGATAGCACCCCAGATCTGGAATTGAACCCAGAGCCCCAGTACTTCTAGGAAACAGTGCTAACCACTTGTCACGATCGTTACTCCTCCTCTTAAGGGCGCTCCAGCCCTTCCTTGTTCTGTCCCATT